GAGGCAAGCCCCCCATGCACAGCCCGTGCTCCCAGCACCCCACAGCCCCTCGCTCCCCCCAGCTGCTCTCCATGGGGTGCGCAGGGCCCATCCTGGGTGCAGCCCCACACACTAACACCCCAGTGCAAGGATGGGGTGCCCTAAACCACTGGTGCCCTCCCCACATGCCAGAGCACCCGGACCCACAGTCCGGGCTCCAGCACCCCTACATCACCCCAGAGCTGTGGTGCTGCCAGCTCGGCTTTATGAAATATGATGTAATTAGCCCATATTCGGAGGGATTAAAATGCAGATAGGGCTAATGAGCGCGAGGGCCCTGGGCTTTGGGAGCTAATCCCCAGCCTGCATGGCAGAAATAGGCCACCCTCTTTTCCTGCTCCCCCCGCAGCCCCACTGCACAGCCAGGGAGGGATTGGGCAGAAGGCAGCCCCATGCTGGGCAGACCTTGCCTGGGTGTTGGAGCACCCTCAGGTTCATCCAGCTGTGCTGGGGTCCCTGCACCAGAGCACTTCGTCGCTTCAGAGCCCCAAGTTTCTGCCACCAACCTGCTAATGAAAACAAATGATTCCATTATCTCGGCACTCGCAGCACAGCCAGGCTGCGGAACGGTCCCAGAGCTGGTCAGCCAGCAAAGGGGAGCTCCCTGGAGCGGGACAGACCCCATAACCCTGCCCGTGACCCAACCACCCCTTGCCCTGCAGCAGAGGCCAGGAGTTCCACAACACCCACGAGTACAGACCAGAGCCCCCAGACCATTCTGCAGGGGAGGGCCAGGTTCCCCTTTAATGCCATCATGCTATTTCCCTAAAAATCTGGCTTAAAGATCCAGACAAACAGAAGCCAGGGCAGAGCTACAGCCTGGCTATGGATGGGGCACATCTCTGCCCTCCCCAAGCCGTGTGGGCCCAGGGTGAGGCTTGTGGGACAAGTGACTGCCAAGCTGAGCCCCTGGGCGTGACATCCACTGACTGCTGTGCTCTGCACGTAGAGCTCTGGACACCATCAAATCTGAAGCGACTTAATGGGAAGCAGCTCAGCAGGGAGGGGGGTTCCCCCCAAAATCCCTCCTCACACTGCTCCATGGGGCCAGACCCAGTGAGGGGTGGGAGGGAGCGTAGGCTGCAGCCCTGCAGACAGAGCAGAGCCCTCCCTGCAGGGTGCTGGTGTGAGGCAGGTGCTGGTTCCACTCGCTTCCAGGGAAGTTGGGAATCTCATCACCACGATGCGCACTAGAACACACACCCGCAGGGTGGCTTACTTCCATACGTTTGCCCTAAGAAGACAGCACACTTGTGTTTCCACATTTTTTATTGACAGTTCTGGGGAGAACAGTTCATTTCTTCTTCTCCACATCCTGCTCTGCAGCCTCTTTGGCACGTTTTGCACGGATGCCGAAGAGCCGGGCATTGGCCCGGGCCATGCGCAGGCTGGCGAAAGCCTTGAAGTTCTTTTCGTCTTCTGAGATAACACGAGCTTTCTCCCGCTTGAAAACCTGGTGGGAGAGCGCAGACAGTCAGACTGCACACCAGAGCCTCCTAGGGACTGTGTTCAAAGCTCAACACAATTAATCTCGCTCTGTTTGCACCACTCGCTCTGTGGTGCTGTGAACAGAGCACTTGTGCCATCTACAGGCCCTGCCCTCAGCATCACTCAGTCAGGCACCTCATTTCAACCTGTTCCTGATTTGCCAGAACATACGAGGGGAAAAACCCCACCAAACAAGCCCAACATGGGATCTGAGTCAGGTGTGTGGTGCTCACACACATCAACAGCGCCTTTTGGAAGCAGCGGGGGGTTTGAGACAAGTAAGTGCTGACTACACGTGATTATTCCCAACCAACGCATCTGAACCGCTAACACTGGAGCTCTTCTCCAGAACCATAAACACAGCTCGTGATTTAAGGACCTTCTCAGCTGATGTTTAGCAGAGCTCCAAGCAGTTAGTTCTTCGCAGCCTGCTTTGCAACACCAAGGAACCAAACAGATCAAGGTACTCGCAGCTAAAGACAAAGATGAGCTTGACCTCTTCCTGCTTTTCTTTGCTCCAGGATGGAAAGTATCTGGAGACAGCAACCCTGAGCTGCACAACAGCAGGAGAATCCTCTCCATGGAGCTTGAGTCTCCATTATCACACAGAAAACATGATTTAGTCACACTTACATTCTTGATCGGCATAACAGGTCCAGTCAGCTGAGTTGCCATCTTGAGTTCCTCAGCCTGCAGAACAAGAGGACAAAACCCATTGTGGAAAAAGCAGCATTCAAAACTCCTTGGGCTGGCAGCTGGGTTAGAAGCGTGCCCTGAGCACCAGTACCCAGCTCAATGCACCGTTAACAATGCTGACCGGAGATTTAACACTGACTCATAACGAATTCAGCATTTCAGGAGCATTTGGCACAGCCGTGCCGCATCGACAACCTGCGATCTGCCTGGCTATCCATCAGCCCAGATCTGCCCGGAGGAACAGCGGCCTTCCAGGAGTCCTGCCAGCTGGAAAAACATTGACATCTACTCTGCCGGTTTTAGTTTGATACCCAGTGTGCTCCTCATCAACTCCTTCTAAGGCTAACTTCAGTTTCTTTTAAGAGTGTGGTGTAAGACAAAAATGACTCAGGTTTTGGTTTAGATAGCTGATTTCAAGTAAACACATTTGGAACAGTGTTTCAGTATATACCTACAGGCAGAGGAGCTTCAGGCCCTTCCTCCCCTGTTCCAAAAACCTAAGTGTGGTCAGCTCCACTGTAGGTGAGTGGCTCAAAAGTGACACTCTCCAGCAGATCAAGGACAGGCTGAGCACACCACTGTGTCCCACGGGAAGCATGTATCTACCAGGGGCAGAGCCAAGGGAGGCAAACCATACTCTGCACTCAGTGGGGTTTTAATGAAAAGCATTTTTGTGAGTCTACAGCAACAACCTTCTCAACACTTCCTTGCACATGGCTTTAGCTGAACTACTCCACTGAAGAGTTTGTTCTTGTTTTCTTCTCCCTTTCAAAGGCAGACCAGAACAAAACATAGACTTTGCACCTATTCTTACTATTTATTGCCATAGTCTAAAAGTCAGCTGGGTAGGCAATGACCAAAGCTCCCAACAGGTCACTCAAGGAGTCTGGCCCCGCATCCGACGGGCTCCTTCAGCACGTTGGCAGTCCCTAGTTCAACAAGCACTGCCTGACCACAAAGCACTGGGATGGACAGACCAACAACCAGAAACAGACCCTGGGAAACTGTGGACTGGACGACCTTTGAAGGTCCCTTCCAACCCAAACTATACTGTGATTCGGAATGTTTGTAGCAGCCAAGTACTTACAGAGCTGTCTCCCTTCTTCGGCATAGCTGGCTTCCTTGGGAAGAGGATAAGCTTGGAGTGGTACTCCTTCAGCCTCTGCACGTTGGCTTGCAGGGACTCTGTGGACTTGTTACGTCGCCGGGGATCCACAGAGATTCCAATAGTCCGGGCAAACTTTTTGTTGATGCCAGCAAGCTGAGGAGAGAGTAGAGTGTGTGGCGTCAGCATCTGACAAGCGCCAGTGCCACTGCCGGGAGCTGCTCTGGTCATCAGCCAGAGAACGATTCAGGCGCAGCCGTAACGGTGCAGAGTGTGGAGAACAGATCTGCATCCGAACTAGCTCCCTACTGGCAGTGTGAAGGTGGGGAAGAGAGACCAACATACCACAGACAACGGGCACCTGGGTGTCTATTTTAGTGCTGAGAATGTTCCACTGATTTTAGAGTGGTTTTTGCAGAGGGATTTCCTCAGGAGAGCAAAGTGCAACCCCCGAATAATCACAAGGGGGAAATTTAAACTCTGATACACGAGACAGAAATTCATCAAGTCATTGCCCAGATGGCTCTTCATACAGGAAGCTCCAATAAAGGAGTATTTTTTTTAACCATCTTAAGCAAGAAATAACTTCATCTTCTGTTTAAAGAGAAATATCTGCATACCATTTTGTATTCCACCATTATCCAAAAACTAAAGAAAAAGTAATGAAGCATTCGACATCCAGAAAAACAATTTTACTGCTTCAATACACTAATTTCACTGTTATAAATGTTTTAATCAGATGCTAAACAATGCACAAGAGACAGCTGCGGGCTGCCAGCAAGCCCTGATGATTATTCCTGCCCACTGTGAGGAGAGATACATGGGTGGGAGTTCCACAATCCAGCTTGTCACAGCTCATCGGCCCAGTGCACCTGGGAAGGTCACAGGAAAGGTTCCTGAATCCCACAGGATTTAAAGTGCTGCTATACCAACTCACAGCTACTGCATTAGAAATGGTCTCATGCATGTGAGGCTACGGTGAGCAGGTCCCTGTCCCGGCAACATCCCCTGCTTCTCCTGGAAGTGAGCTGAACACGGTTTACTCTGTTCACAATGGGAACAGGTTCATGTTGGCTAAAATTTTTAGGATTAGCACAAACATGTTCCAAAGTAACAAAAGATTCTAATGAAGAGCCTGTTAGCCTTCCACTCCCCAAAAGAAGTTGAGGAGACTCAATGAAGGCTCTTCCAGAATGCAATTTTAAAGGAATTTTCTTTAACAGTCTGACCAGACAAAAGGATTTTACTACTCAAAGCCACCTTCCACTCTGACATACACTACATACCCACTCCCTGGTTAAAGGAAAGGCAAGACCAGTGTTTTCTGTGCCCCTGTAGAGCAGAAGCTCTGTGTGTCTCCCACAGCTGAGCCAGTGCCACCAGATACTGACAGCTTGGCAGATGGTCTATATATGGAAAAACAGGCCAAGACAACAAGCTCTGACTGGGAGTAAATTTGACTGGGTTGGGATCAGCATGCTGTACTTACCTTAAGCTCTTCAAGGCTGAAGCCTCTGCCAGCACGGACTTTCTTGTGGTACCTGATAGTAGGGCACCTCACTATAGGCCGAATGGGCCCAGCCACAGGACGAGGAGCAATGCGTCGAGCCTTCGCCTGGCGGGCCTTCCTCCTGGAATGTTCAACAGGACAGGGATGAGAAACACCAATCATGGAATCCCAGAATTGTTTGTGTTGGGAAGGACGCTAAAGCTCATCCAGTTCCAACCCCTCCCATGGGCAGGGACACCTTCCACTAGAGCAGGTTGCTCCAAGCCCCTGTGTCCAACCTGGCCTTGAACACTGCCAGGGATGGGGCAGCCACAGCTTCTCTGGGCACCCTGTGCCAGCGCCTCAGCACCCTCACAGGGAAGAGCTTCTGCCCAAGAGCTCATCTCAGTCTCCCCTCTGGCAGGTTAAAGCCATTCCCCCTTATCGCATGTCTACCTGCCCTCATCAAAAGCCCCTCCCCAGCTTTCTTATCAGCCCGTTTAGGCACTAAAAGCTGCTCTAAGGTCTCCCCAGAGCCTTGTCCACGTTGAACCATGCCAGCTCCCTCCACGTGCCTTCATAAAAGAGCTGCTCCAGCCCTTGAAGCATCGTCATGGCCTCCTCTGACGCCACTACACTGCCAACTGACC